ATAGGTATTTTTGAATCTGAAAAGATTATGAGTGTTTTTTGCACATTTTTTCAAATAGGAGGTAAAAATGCTACATAAAATATACTTTAGAAGTATTTTCTGCACTTGCCCTATTTTTTTATATTATGTAAAAATCAAACTTAGAATGCAGAAATTTACAGACTTAGTACAATAGTTAGAAATTCTACAGGTACAAATCCCGGAACACAAATGACTAGTAGAATTTTTGTCTTTTAATAGTATTCAATTCGACCACTGGCATGTTTGGCCTTTAGGTGCGAAAACAATTTTAATTCTTGTGAGACGACTTATACTTTTCAGGTCTTCGTTCCTGCAAATACAATAGAATCTTTTTAAGAATACCAAAAAAATATTCTTATCCATTTCGTATATTCTTCAAGATTTTTTTCATATACACCTAATCTTGTTGGGAGGAGCAATCTATGAATCACAGTACTGTTTGGACCGATGAAAAAATGGATGGAAGAGTAAGGTCAAGTAGGGATGGATGAGAAATATTTGGAGGGAAGGAAATGTGTTTTATTGCTTTTTATTTGGTTAAATAAAATAAATAGTAAAAATGATAGATGTAATGGAAGGATAATTTTTATATATAATTTTATTAATATACCCTCATTATGTTTGACATAATTTTAATAGGTTTAGCAAATTATTTAGTAAATAACTAACTATTAAATTTTAAAATATATTTTTTATTTTTGGGTGATTATTCTTTCCTCTGTGACCCGAAAAGATTTTCACCTCTCACATTTAAAATTCGAAATGTGACGTTCTATCATTGAATCACATTAGTGGTTCATGGATCGATCACCTTAGCCTGAATCCAAGCTTCAGTTAGTCAGAGACCATGCCTTGATGGTTGGGTCGTTGGTCAAACACTTGGGCTTGTTTCTCAATTGCTGTTTGTTTTATTGGGCCACTTTAGTCAGGTCCAACTAAAATTTGTTCTTGCTCTAGCAAGCTGTTTGGGCCTCTAAAATATGGTCACTCTGTAAATATTTTACATATACTAGCAAAACATACGTGGCTCAGGGAAAATATGTGTATAATTGTAAATTAAAAAAATATATGTATATAGGAGAAAAAATTTGCATTATTATTTATTATATATAAATAATATTAATTAAGAAAATTAAAAATTAATAATAATTATTAGTAGGTAATTTGTGTTAGAGTTTTATAAAAATTCTTTTAAAAACTCTTTTTATGTTAATAGATAATTTGTGTTAATGTTTTATAGAAGATGTTTTAAAATTTATTTTATATTAATTAATAAAATCACTTTGAACTTTGCTCATTGGTATTCTTATTTTATTTTGGTTGGGGACCTTGCTTATTGATATTTTAGTATTTTATTTTAGTTAGACTTTGCATATTGATATTCAACTAAAATTAATTTACTTAACCTTTGGAACCCAAAAAAAAAAAAAAAGACTTCGTTACTCATTCTGTCTTTACATCTATTAATTATTTGTGAATTCTCACACATTATACTTCCCTATTTTTTTTTCTAGGAACTAATTCCAACTATTTCTAAATCAAAATTACAAATCTATATCACCAGAGTAAACCAGATTGTATATAATTCTAACAGTGTTACGTATATATAATTGAATGGGGTCCACAATGAATCATGTCATCCATGACATCAAGGTTTAAAGCTTACAATGGAAGATTGCATCTGTGCCGTACCAGGGAAGCTTCAATGTAAGTCTATATAAGGCCATGTATGTGTACTGATTGTTGGATATATAAAATACAAGATTTTCATTCTCTTTCTCTGTCTCTTTTCGCTCTATCTCTCTGTCTCTCTAAAAGTTTTCCTTTTATTTCTCTAAATAAGTATTGTATTATATATATATATATATATACACACACATATATTTATTACACGTTATCGGCATGACGCTCTATCCATCTGAAATTTGAAGAAGAAGTTTTCTCTCCCTCTTTCTATCCCAACTATATATCTATTTTGTGATATTAGTTTTGATAAATTGTTGGATTAGTTTGCTTTATCGAAGAAAATAACTCCAAAGGGTAAGAAAATTTTAATTAGAGATTATTGTTCATAAAATAAATTGGTTCACTGAAATGATATATGTGCTTACACTATGGTCGGTTTTACCACATTTATTATTTAATAATTTAGGGCCGGTTTTACCGCCTTTATTGTTTAATAATTTATTCACTATGACTGGCTTTACCACATTTGTTATTTAAATAAATCATATTATGTTATTATTTCATTTAAAGCCATTTTATTTATTTATATACTATGCTAATGGATGGTTTGATTTTTCGTAAAAACTAAATAAAAAATAAAATTCAGTAAGTTAGATAGGTGTGGGGCAGTCATTGCATTGCTGCAGAAAACTAGTATTTTAAAGGGTAAAATGCAACCCCCCCCCCCCCCCCTCCACCCCCAATTAACCCTTTGAACTATCAATTTTTTTGCAAATATTACACACCGGCGAAATTCCTTTGATTTCTCCGGCCAATTAGGCCCGTGATGAATACATGCCAACAATATATTTTGAAAATGAAAAATCTACCCTTATACTATTAAATGTATAAAATAAAAATAAAAAAAAATAAAAAAATTCCAAATTAAAGCCCTAAAAAAATCACAGGCGTCGGTGCAGTGAGGGATGGATTTGAGAAAGAGATGGTCGTGGTCCTCATCACCGCTGGTGCTAGAGGTGGTCGGCGTCCTCATCGCCGCTAATGCTAATTTTCTTTAAAAAAAAACCCTAACCCACTTTCCTTTCCCCCTCCTCTCTCTTTCAGCGATGTCGCCAGTTCACCCACATTCTCTCTCAATTTCACCACCTCCGAACTAGCCGTCATCCATGGTGAATGTCGGACTATGGATTTATGATTTGCGGTGGTATCACCGATTTGCCTGATCGCCAATTTTAAAGCTGATTCGCTGTCGTCCTGAACCGCCGTGCAAGTTCCGTCTCCTCCCCCGAGCTCAACCCCCGTAGTTGCCGCCACAACACAACCACCTATCATCACCTTCACAATATCTTCTCGCCGGATTCGCACGCAATCTCACCGCCGAATAGTCTTCACCAGCTATGCTCACACATGATAACACGGTAAGAAAAAGCCGACCAATCAATACCCAACTCTCCCCAACGTGCGCTCACGCGCCATGTTTTTATGATTAATTTCTTCACAGAATTGTTCATGATGGTAGCTCTGTTCTTGGATTTGTCTCCGATTTTGTTTCTTTGGTCTGTTTTGGATTGATTTGATCTTAATTGGTGCATCGGATTGACTACATGAGTCGCCATCGGTCATGGATTTGCGGAGTTCGCGATGTGAGCTTTGGCAGAGAAGAGACCAGAAAAGGCGGACGCATTATGTCTAAAGTCTAGACCAGAGACTTGTCGGCGTCGGTGGCGAGATGAGGTTGTCGTTGCCCTTGGTGGCAGTGAAGAAATTGGATGTAGCCTGGACCTCCGAGGCTGGAATTTATGCATACTTTTCTAGCGATAGTTTAACTGTGAGTGTGCTGGTGATTGCGCTGGTGTTGTTGCCTGGAGTTGTCGGTGTAGTGGAGTCGGCTCAATTATGTTGCCCAGAAAACTGATTTAACATGACAACGCCAGCGCGTAGAAATGGGCATAAGAGATTACAAGCCCTCATCAACAACTAAGTTGGGTATTAGATAAAACGATGCAGTTTCTCGAAAGTCTCCGAGCTTTTATGTCTTTCTATCTTTCCTGGCCGCCTTCCACGGCAGCATTTGTGTCATACGACTTCCCGATCGTTGAATCTCAACTCTGAATTCGATTTGAAGTCTAAAATTTTCGACTTTGGCCTCATCGATTATTTGGGGTTTTGATTCGAATTCAAAGAAATAATTTTTAATAAATATATGTCTGTGTGTGTATATATAGATATATATGTGTCTGTATCTGTATATATAAAATATATATGTGTCTGTACGTTTGATTATTTGGAGAAGATGAACAGTATTCTATAAAAGGGTGCCGTTCAATTAGAGGGTAATTTTGTAATTTTGGTTTTTCAGTGCCAAAGTCTTGCCTGATGTCCTTAAATGCAACTTTTTAGTAGTTCAAGAGGGCATTTATTAATTCAGGTGTGCAATTGACTGATAATTCAGGAGAATTTTGTGCATTTTACCCTATTTTAAAATAAGTTGGTCAAGTGGGTAATACTTCTCCCTTTCCACTAAAACTACCAGATTCAATTATCCACTTTGCCCCCCTTCACTTTTTAATAAAAAAAACCCTGTTTTATTTGAAAGCAGCCAAACCACGTGTTCCAGAGTGTTCGAATTCGGGTTTTGTGAACTAACGTGAGATGTTAAGTGCAGTCGCAACTTTGACAGTTGCGACCCACTCATATGATACTGATAGAATGAAAATGACATAAATATCACAATATTAAATTAGATTATTGAACGGACAAAATTTTATAGTATTTTTCTTGTATTTACATTGACATGATGGTTAATACTCTTCCCTTTTGGTTAGGCGGCTAAAATGAAAGAAAAGAAGAAGTTGTATGATCAAAAGACGCCTGCGCTGACTGTGCAAACACGAAATTTCAAACATGATGTCAATGGAATGGATGATGCAGGGACGTTCCTAGAACATTAGGTGGGTGGGTAAAAATGAAATCTTTTAATAATTTTAGAGGTAATAATAATATTTTATAGGTATAAAATTAAAAAAGAATAGCAAGGCATATTAGTTTAAAAAAAATATCCAGGGAGGCAATTTCCCATATGCATGTAGGTCCGCTGGATGATGTGATGGCTGTTCAAGCCTTCTAATAAACCAACCATCATGAGTTGGTCATCATCAAGCCTTCGTCAATGCCCTTCTTCTTTTGTTTTTTTTGATAAGGTAAGTCTTCGTCAATGTCAATTCTCATCATCAAGTCTTCGTCAATGCCCTTCTTTTTTTTTTTTTTGATAAGGTAAGTCTTCGTCAACGTCAATCCCATAGCCATCAATACAATCCTCATATATAATATAGAAAGAACAACTCTCTTCATTGCAATCTGTTTCCTAACAACACTTCACTTTCTACAACCTCAAATGGCTTTTGGATTGACCAAAAGAAAGATGGTGACGGTGCTGAGCATCGATGGAGGTGGCATTAGAGGCATCATTCCCGGTACCCTCCTCGCTAATCTTGAATCAAAGCTTCAGGTAGTACTTCATCAAACATGTATTGTTTACACTTTTCAGTTTTGTCATTGTGTTAGTACTTATTTTTGTTCTTGTATAATTTGATTGTCAGGAACTTGATGGACCTGGTGCGAGAATTGCAGATTATTTCGACGTAATTGCTGGGACTAGCACTGGTGGGCTTGTCACTACCATGCTTGCAGCTCCCAACAAGAACAACCGCCCTATGTATGCTGCAAAGGACATCAACAATTTCTACTTACAACACACCCCCAAGATCTTCCCTCAGACCAGGTGGGTAAATTAGTATATAAGCTTAAATTATATACTTATGTCAATGTGTGTCTACTATATATATATATGTTGGATGAATATTCATTGATGGGTGTTTCTCTGATCAGTCGATGGAGCTTCAGGGACACGGTGACACGTTTGATTGGCGCGGTCTCATGGCCAAAATATGATGGGAAGTACCTAAGGTCATTAACATGTCAATGTGTGTGTACTATATATATATATGTTGGATGAATATTCATTGATGGGTGTTTCTCTGATCAGTCGAAGGTGCTGCATGGACACGGTGACACGTTTCATTGGTGCGTTCTCAGGGCCAAAATATGATGGGAAGTACCTAAGGTCATTAACAAAGGAGCTACTAGGTGACCTTACTATAAAGCAGACACTAACAAATGTGGTCATACCGGCTTTTGATATCAAGTACCTCCAGCCAGTTATCTTCTCTACCAGTGATGTATGAAACTTGTGGATATTAATTTGGTCATTTGAATTTCTAGCTACAAATGTGAAGTGACATTAATTGTATGAACAAATTTTATACAATGTATAGGGAAAAATGAATGTTTCCAAGAATGCTCTGCTATCAGATATCTGCCTCAGCACCTCTGCAGCCCCTGCCTATCTCCCAGCACACTACTTTGAGACCAAGGATGCTGATGGAAAGACGCGCACTTTTGATCTCATTGATGGTGGAGTTGCTGCAAATAATCCTGTGAGTAGCTAATTTGGAGATTTGGATCAAACTATAATTAATTTTTATGGTCTTTCTAAATTTACATTGAATATATATATGCATAACAAGGTGACACTATATTGGTTAGTGGGTACTATGTGAAAGCTAGGAACTAACCTTTGATGAGTGAATTTGCAGACTCTAATGGCCATAAGCCACATTACAAAAGAAATTATAATGGGCAAAAGGATGCTAGTCCTTTCACTGGGCACCGGTGCAGCCAAGCGAGAAGAGAAGTACAGCGCAGCCACAGCCTCCCAGTGGGGATCGCTCAATTGGATGTATGACAATGGTGCAAAACCATTGCTTGACGTGTACGGCGACGCGAGCTCGGATATGGTTGATATCCATGTCTCAACTCTCTTTCAAGCCTTGTATGCTGAGAAGAACTACCTTCGCATTCAGGTATATATCAAGAATTACATAAAGGGCTAGACAGTATGCTCCCGTTATGGCGGGATGTGAGGAGGTAAGATTTAACAGTCTTACCTCCACATAGAAAGAGGTGGCCAGTTTTCTATTTGAAACTTGTAACTTTCAAATCACAATAGAACAACTCTACGATTGAGTCAAGACTGCCTTGTATTTTATGACTATCATATGTTAATAATTTCTTATAATATGGATGGACAGGATGATACGTTGACCGGTGACTTAGCCTCAGTCGATATTGCAACAAAGGAGAATCTGGAAGGGCTTGTGAAAATTGCAGAGAAGTTGTTAAAGAAGCCAGTTTCAAGGGTAAATATGGAAACTGGACAGTTTGAGACAGTTGAGGGAGAGGGTACTAATGAAGAAGCTCTTGGGCGCTTTGCTAAGCAGCTTGCAGATGAAAGAAAGCTTCGTACCACTTAAATATCAATTGGGTTATACAGATTATTTAAACTCACGTATTTATTTAAGGGTGAGTGTAGAAAACATCCCTAAAGTACGTTTAAAAAGCACATCACACCTCAAACGTGCAAAAAACACCCTTTAAGTTTCAATTTGGTGCAAATAGATCCCTCTGACAAATTTAAACCCTAAATTAACTAAATTACCCTTACTGAACCATTTTATAAAATATATAAAAATAAATAATTTTGTAAAATGACTGAAAATGATACTATTGGAGGATGTCCCTCTCGTGCAAAAAACACCTCTATAGTTTCAATCTGGTGCAAATAAGCCCCTCTGATAAATTTAAAGCATAAATTAACTAAATTACCTTACTGAACAATTTTATAAAATATATAGAAAATGACAGTATTGAAGGACACCAGCAATGGAAAATAAAATATAAAAATAAGGGCAATTTAGAAAATAAAAATAGAAAGTGCAAACTAAAGAAAACAAATTTTTTTCCAAACACCGAAAACTAGTGCACATTGATTGGGATTTTTTTTTTTTTTTTTGTTTAACAGTGTTGGTACGGAAAAAATAATAATAATAATAATAGTAGGAAAGAGTGAACTGGAATCTCAGAAAATTCAAATTCTTATTCTACAATTCTCAAAAAAAATTTTAAAAAATGTTTAAAGATATGCATAGAGAAAAAAGTTTTACAAAAAAAAAAAAAAATATATATATATATATATATATATAAAGTAATATGCACATAACACCCCTATACTATGAAGTTAGTAGTATATATACCCATTCGGCATTTTCAGAAGAGTAAAAAGGTAAAATTGATATTACAACACTAATTTATGTAGATAGGTATTTTTGAATGTGAAAAGATTATGAGTGTTTTTTGCATATTTTTTCAAATAGGAGGTAAAAATGCTACATAAAATATACTTTAGAAGTATTTTCTGCACTTGCCCTATTTTTTTATATTATGTAAAAATCAAACTTAGAATGCGGAAATTTACAGACTTAGTACAATAGTTAGAAATTCTACAGGTACAAATCCCGGAACACAAATGACTAGTAGAATTTTTGTCTTTTAATAGTATTCAATTCGACCACTGGCATGTTTGGCCTTTAGGTGCGAAAACAATTTTAATTCTTGTGAGACGACTTATACTTTTCAGGTCTTCGTTCCTGCAAATACAATAGAATCTTTTTAAGAATACCAAAAAAATATTCTTATCCATTTCGTATATTCTTCAAGATTTTTTTCATATAGACCTAATCTTGTTGGGAGGAGCAATCTATGAATCACAGTATTGTTTGGACCGATGAAAAAATGGATGGAAGAGTAAGGTCAAGTAGGGATGGATGAGAAATATTTGGAGGGAAGGAAATGTGTTTTATTGCTTTTTATTTGGTTAAATAAAATAAATAGTAAAAATGATAGATGTAATGGAAGGATAATTTTTATATATAATTTTATTAATATACCCTCATTATGTTTGACATAATTTTAATAGGTTTAGCAAATTATTTAGTAAATAACTAACTATTAAATTTTAAAATATATTTTTTATTTTTGGGTGATTATTCTTTCCTCTGTGACCCGAAAAGATTTTCACCTCTCACATTTAAAATTCGAAATGTGACGTTCCATTCTATCATTGAATCACATTAGTGGTTCATGGATCGATCACCTTAGCTTGAATCCAAGCTTCAGTTAGTCAGAGACCATGCCTTGATGGTTGGGTCGTTGGTCAAACACTTGGGCTTGTTTCTCAATTGCTGTTTGTTTTATTGGGCCACTTTAGTCAGGTCCAACTAAAATTTGTTCTTGCTCTAGCAAGCTGTTTGGGCCTCTAAAATATGGTCACTCTGTAAATATTTTACATATACTAGCAAAACATACGTGGCTCAGGGAAAATATGTGTATAATTGTAAATTAAAAAAATATATGTATATAGGAGAAAAAATTTGCATTATTATTTATTATATATAAATAATATTAATTAAGAAAATTAAAAATTAATAATAATTATTAGTAGGTAATTTGTGTTAGAGTTTTATAAAAATTCTTTTAAAAACTCTTTTTATGTTAATAGATAATTTGTGTTAATGTTTTATAGAAGATGTTTTAAAATTTATTTTATATTAATTAATAAAATCACTTTGAACTTTGCTCATTGGTATTCTTATTTTATTTTGGTTGGGGACCTTGCTTATTGATATTTTAGTATTTTATTTTAGTTAGACTTTGCATATTGATATTCAACTAAAATTAATTTACTTAACCTTTGGAACCCAAAAAAAAAAAAAAGACTTCCTTACTCATTCTGTCTTTACATCTATTAATTATTTGTGAATTCTCACACATTATACTTCCCTATTTTTTTTTCTAGGAACTAATTCCACCTATTTCTAAATCAAAATTACAAATCTATATCACCAGAGTAAACCAGATTGTATATAATTCTAACAGTGTTACGTATATATAATTGAATGGGGTCCACAATGAATCATGTCATCCATGACATCAAGGTTTAAAGCTTACAATGGAAGATTGCATCTGTGCCGTACCAGGGAAGCTTCAATGTAAGTCTATATAAGGCCATGTATGTGTACTGATTGTTGGATATATAAAATACAAGATTTTCATTATCTTTCTCTGTCTCTTTTCGTTCTATCTCTCTGTCTCTCTAAAAGTTTTCCTTTTATTTCTCTAAATAAGTATTGTATTATATATATATATATATACACACACATATATTTATTACACGTTATCGGCATGACGCTCTATCCATCTGAGATTTGAAGAAGAAGTTTTCTCTCCCTCTTTCTATCCCAACTATATATCTATTTTGTGATATTAGTTTTGATAAATTGTTGGATTAGTTTGCTTTATCGAAGAAAATAGTATTTCTAACTCCAAAGGGTAAGAAAATTTTAATTAGAGATTATTGTTCATAAAATAAATTGGTTCACTGAAATGATATATGTGCTTACACTATGGTCGGTTTTACCACATTTATTATTTAATAATTTAGGGCCGGTTTTACCACCTTTATTGTTTAATAATTTATTCACTATGACTGGCTTTACCACATTTGTTATTTAAATAAATCATATTATGTTATTATTTCATTTAAAGCCATTTTATTTATTTATATACTATGCTAAATTATATTTTTATATTGTTGTCACATTTAGTAATTCTGAAAATGTCAAATTTGACAAAGCTAGAATTCGTGGCCCTGGATATTTCTGGCAAAAATTATTTATCTTGGATTCTGAATACTCGGATCCATTTAGATGCCATGGGTCTTGGAGACACAATTAAAGAAGACAATGATGCATCATTACAAGATAAAGCAAAGGCCATGATTTTTCTCCGACGCCATATTAGTGAGGAACTGAAAACTGAATACCTCACTGAAAGAGATCCACTTTGTTTGTGGAACAATTTGAAAGAAAGATATGATCATCAAAAAACAGTTATCCTCCCAAAGGCCAGGGCTTATTGGCAGCTACTGAGATTGCAAGATTTTAAAACTGTGGCTGAATATAACTCTGCCCTATTCAAAATCAGTTCTACCTTGAAATTATGTGGTGATACTATTACTGATGAACTTTTGCTGGAAAAAACATTCACCATATTTCACGCCTCGAATGTACTCTTGCAACAACAATATCGTGAGCGTAGATTTAAAAAATATTCAGAGCTGATATCATGTTTGCTTGTGGCAGAGCAAAATAATGAGCTTTTGTTAAGAAACCACCAGTCCCGTCCAACTAGATCGACACCGATCTTTGAAACATATGTTGCCTCATCCCGTAGTCGTGGACGCGGACATGGACGTGGTCGTGGTGGTAGAAATGGCCACAATAATGAATATGGTCGTAGTAAAAATAACTACCACAATAATGACTATGCTTGTGGTAGAAATCATTCTTATTACCGTGAAGGATATCAATCCTCACATTTTCGCAATCATAGATCCACACCATATCCTAAAAGGAGATATTATAATGAAATGAAATAGGTAAAATGGAAGGATGTGGCTCAACCTTCCAAGGCTCATGATAATACTTGTTACCGATGTGGAATGACGGGGCATTGGCAAAGCATTTGTCATACACCTAAGCATCTGGCTGACCTTTACCAAGCCTCAATGAAAGAAAAAGGGAAATAAAAGGAAATGAATTTCCTTAATCATGATGAGCCAGTTGACATCACAAATTTGGAAATAAATTTCATTGATCATAATGAACCAGTTAACATCAAAAATCTAGATGTATCAGATTTCTTTGAGGACGGTGATGAAAAGATAGACTTCCTGATTGGTGATGGAAATGTCCACACCAATTAATCTTATTTTCTTTTCATATTCTGTGTACTATGTTTGTATTTTCTTTGTGTTAAAGTTTTTATTTTCTAGTTTGTATTAAAGTTTCTTTTGTTATAAAAGTTTCTTTTTTGATAAAGAAATTTGCATAAATAGGAATGGATCTGACTAGTTCCAAAGTAAATGGAGAACATATATGTCTTGCAGATAGTGGAACAACACATACAATCCTTTGAGATCAAAAATATTTTTCTCACCTAACTCTGACAGACACTAGTGTTAGTACAATATTAAGTCCCACCAACTTGATTGAAGGCTCCGGACGAGCCAACCTCATTTTACCACATGGAACAAGATTACAAATCAATGATGCCTTATATTCTACAAGATCTTGGAGAAATCTGTTGAGTTTTAAAGATTTACGTCGTAATGGGTATCATATTGAGACTGTAAATGAAAGAAATGTGAATATCTCTACATTACTTCCATTACCTTAGGCAAAAAGCTGATATTAGAAAAACTCCTTATTTTTTTCTTTTGGGTTATACTATACAACCATTAGGACAATTGAGTCAAATGCTGTGATCCATAAAAAATCTTGTGACCCAAAACTTTTTATGCTTTGGCATAATCGACTTGGTCACCCGGGGAGTACAATGATGCATCGAATTATTGAAAATTCGCATGGACACCCACTAAAGGATCAAAAAATCATCTTACCAAATAATCATTTATGCACCGCCTGCTCAAAAGGTAAGTTGATTATCAGACCATCCCCTTCAAAAGTCATTGTTGAGTCTCCCCCATTTTTACAACGAATTCACGGAGATATATGTGGGCCGATTCATCCACCCTGTGGACCATTTCGCTATTTTATGGTACTAATTGATACCTCAACACGATGGTCACATGTTTGTCTATTTTCTACTTGTACTGTTGCATTTGCTAAATTTCTTGCTCAAATCATCAAATTACGGGCACACTTTCCTGATTACCTAATCAAGACAATCCGTCTTGATAATGCCGCTGAATTTTCTTCTCAAACTTTTGATGATTTTTGCATGTCAATTAGAATTAATGTTGAACATCCTGTTGCACACACTCATACTCAAAATGGTATGACTGAATCTTTTATTAAAAGATTTCAGTTGATTGGTCGTCCTTTGCTTATGCGAACAAAATTACCTGTTTCTGCCTGGGGTCATGCCATATTACATGCTGCATCATTAGTTCGTATATGACCAACTGCTTATCATAAGTACTCACCATTGCAACTTGTTTTTGGTCAACAATCAAATATCTCCCACATACGAGTTTTTGGTTGTGCTGTATATGTTCTAATTGCACCACCCCAGCGCACTAAAATGGTTTTTCAACGTAGACTTGGAATTTATATTGGTTTTGATTCTCCATCTATTATTAGATATCTTGAACCTCTGACAAGTGATGTCTTTAAAGCACGATTTGCTAACTGTCATTTTGATGAGATTGTTTTCCCACCATTAGGGGGAGAAAAGGCACAGCAGTAACGTGATCTTACTTGGAATGCCCTGGAATTGTCTCATTTTGATCCTCACATAAATCAATGTGAACGAGAAGTTCAGGGGATCATTCACTTGCAAAATGTTGCAAATCAATTACCTAATGTATTTACTAATACAAAGAAAGTAACAAAATCACATATACCAGCTGCAAATGTGCTAGCACGAATTATTGTCCCTGAGGGACCGTCTGTCAGTAATGCAGCAAATGCATCTAAAACACGCTTGAAGCGTGGTAGACCAATTGGTGCAAAATATATTGTTCCTCGTAAGAGGAAATCACAAAGAAAAGCGGTCATTCCTAAAGAGGCCATAAAGGAGCAACAGATATTATTGATCAATCTTAGATAATAACCTTTGATAAGGTAGAAGCTCTTGAAGAGTCTCAGGTACCTAAAAATTATGAAATAATAAATGTTGATGAGGCAAAAGCAACAGGTAATGTGTAATACCCCTAGATTTAAAAGGATATTCCTGGTATTTAATGTATTGTTTAAATAGTATTTTAATTTAATTAATTGTTTAAATTGTGCTTTTATTTGATTAATTGATTGATTGCTGTTAATTTAAATTATTTGTGTGCATTTTTATTAAATTAATTGTTTAATTGCTTATTTTGTTTGATTTATTTGACCTAATTGGATTTTGTTATTTTAGTTGATTTATTTGGTAAATTATTTTTTTTATGATATGTATTTTCTGTCTTTAATTATTTAGTTGTATTTTTATTTGGCTTTTATTTATTTAAGGAAGTTAAGTTAAAGATTTTAGTTATTAAATTAGGATATAGTTTTAATTGTATAATGGAATTCACGTATGTAGCCGACACTATTTTAAAACGTAGGTGTTGTTATGGGCCGACTACATTAGGGCTCTGTCTATAATTATACACGGATTAGGGTTTTAATGGTAAGCCTATAAATACTCTGTTGTGTCTTAGCCTAGGGTTTTAAAATTACCAAAAGCTCTGTCACGTCTCAAAATTACAAAGTGAAAACAGAGAGGGATTTTGTAAGGACAGAGAATTGTAAGGTTTGTCAAGGGAAGAATTGGGAGGACCAAGGAGGTGTAGTGGTGGTGGACTACCTAGAACCAGAAGAAGGTTGGATAGAGGGTTGTGTTGCCGGAACAAGCAAGGGCTAAACAGGCAAGTTCTTCTCTTTCTCCTTCCCTTTGGCTTGTGTTCTGTGCACCTAGATAGTCTCTAGGGTTCAATCAATTAATAATTGGAAGCTACGTGATTAATATATGTTATTGACGATTTGTTTGTTTTAAAATCAAATCTATTTAAAATTCGTGCATGTCTGCTTCCAGTTTTTATTCCTTTAAACATGATACGTTCTGTTGTGATTTAGATTACTGTACTTGCTTTTCATCACTGTAAATAAATCGTGGGGATGTTAATGGGATGTTCTAATACCTTAGGTACAGTATTGAAGAGGAACCGAGGGGTTGGAATAAAACTGGTACTGCAAATTAGTTCAGTGTTATTCTTCAACAATGCTAGTTTAAATGGCTTTGTTTGAATTTCTGTAATTGATTTTGATTTATTTTGGACAAGCTATGGGAATGATTCTAGGCTTAAATAAGGCTCCTAAATTAAGTTAAAGACCCAACACAAAGGTTGCAACTGGTCGGAGTTGAAGCAGAAGTTAGAAACGGGCTGAAACGGAGCAGAAGAAGGCCGGAAGCTCTCAGAATGAGTGAGAGTCGGCTCCATAGAAGTGGGAGCCGGCTCCCACCCATTATAGAGCCAGCTCCTGAGCAATTGAGCCTGCTCCCAAAGTTATGGAGCAGGCTTTCTTCAATATTAGGCATTCTGATATATTTTTGTTACGAAGTATTGCTACTGTTGGAGCATTGGAATTGTTTTGAAACCTCTGGGAATTTACAGAGGGATTAGATAGTTTATTTTGGGTTTCATTAAGACCTTAAATTGATTAAAATTGACCTCTAAGTCTATGGGACAAACAGTAGAAAATTAGTGAACTTTCTATGCGGTTGACGGCCGGAAGGTAATAAATTGTCTGGTTTTAATTTGACAATTTAGGGTGCTAAAGCATGATTCTAAATTAAGTTTTAGATGTACGAAGAAGTATTTTAGTTAACAAATTAGACTTATGGATCAGTGTATGGCCCTGTGTTAAAAGGAATAAAACAGGGTACAAGTATACAACTTAGTACGCTGTTACCGAATGGAAGGAACTAAATTGCTTAAAATAATTTTAACAATTTATTGGACTATAATATGATTATAGAATGGATTTTAAATGCGTGATAGAGTCAATGCTATATTAGATTTGATCTATGCATACCTGGATGTTAATTGTTGAGTTATGAAATCACAATCTGCAACTATATGGTTTAATGCTTGAATTTAATTGCTGAAACTTTAAATGTTTTCCTGCAATTACTTGGATATTGGTTTTTGATTATATATATGTGGAATTTTAATTATTGAATTAATATATTTTGTCAATTATATGGTTATGGAGGATTGTATGCACCAGTATGGGACGGTGGCATACTAGCGACGGTTTAGCTCAAAATGCTAATACCTAACCTATCGGATGAAAGGGATGGATTGTAAAATATTGAATCCTAAACCTTGTTTAGTCAGATCGATTGATTAAGTTGAAAGACTATCTGGATTAATTGTGTTTGTGTGTAGTCGGATTGACTGATTAAGTTGAATGACTACCTGGATTAAATGTTGGTTGTGTTTAAGTCAGATCGACTGATTAAGTTGAATGACTAAACTGGATTAAAATTCTTATGTCAATTCAATAAACAATAAAATGGCATACCTTGGGTTAGACGGACTTTATATATATGTTATGGCACCACGATATGGGCATGAGTCTCAGAGTCGTTGGTTAGGGAGCGTATATGCATTGGGATGCATAGCTGGATATGATGGTTGAGGTGTACCTTGTTAGGTCTAGGTATTCATGCCCACCTTTGGGTGCGTTTTTGCATGTTGCCTTCTACTCAGGTTGAGACCCCATTATAGTCCAATGAAGGTCCTCTAGTGTGGATATATTTATGTATGGACTAGATAGATATTGTGAGGTATTTAGGTGTATTTGCGTATCGGGTCACTGTATGGATTGCAGTTAGATTAGAACTTGTTCGTGGGCCTGACCCACTCTTATTTTTCAGGTATTGGACAGTTCCAGTCTTAGGCTTGATCGTGTTGTGCAGGGATTATCAATCATTCCACTGACGACATAGGATGTCCTTCCATATTTTAGTATTTGGTTTTATGTCAGTTGTTTACGTTTTAGTTGAGATTTTTATTTAAGGGTCCACTAGATGGATTCCCGAGTTGTAATTCATGGAAGTTTTGGAAGTTGGATTTTATTAAGTTTTATCAAGCTATTGAGGATTTTATATTAGTATTCTGTTCAGCTTTTAATAGTTATTCTTATTTCATTTTTTTTTTTTCATCTGTGTTCGTTTTAAAATACTTTAATTGTTTGATGTCCCTCGGGTTTGGGCCTGGGCCTGATCAACCCATGTCTCAGATCCTAGGGGTATCACATAATGATATGGCCCCTGATGAGGCACATACTCTTGATGAGGCAAAGGTACCTGAAAATGATGAGATCTCATAAAATTATGAAACGAGATGGAATAAAAATGAAATTGTTGTCGACAACATATTCTCATATCTCGTTACTTTTGATATTAATAATGAGGATCCGGAACCTCAAAACGTCGAAGAATGTCGACGAAGAAATGATTGACCGAAATGAAAAAATGCAATACAAGCAGAGCTAAATTCATTAGTTAAACGTGAAGTATTTGGAACAGTAGTCCAGACACCTGAAGGTGTTAATCCTGTTGGGTACAAATGGGTATTTGTACGAAAACGTAATGAGAAAAATGAAATTGTGAGATACAAAGCTCGACTAGTGGCTCAAGGTTTCTCACAGAGACCTGGTATTGATTATGAGGAAACATACTCCCCGGTGATTGATGCACCTACTTTTAGATTCATAATACATTTAGCAGTCACAGAAAGATTGCATATGCATCTAATGGACGTGGTTACAACATATTTATATGGATCACTAGATAGTGATATTTATATGAAAATTCTAGAATGATTTAAAATGCGTGAAACAAAACCACGTAATATGTACTCGATAAAATTACAACAATCCTTGTATGGATTGAAGCAAACTGGACGAATGTGGTATAATCGCCTTAGCGATTACTTGCTCAAAGAAGGGTATGTGAACAATCATATTTGTCCATGCATTTTTATTAACAAATCAGAATCTGTTTTTGTTATTGTTGCAGTATATGTTGATGATCTGAATTTTGTGGGAACATTGGACAAGATCGAAAAGTCGACCACTTATTTAAAGAAAGAATTCGAAATGAAAGATCTCAGAAAGACAAAATTATGCCTTGGGCTGTAGATTGAACATTTTTCGAGTGGTATTCTCATCATCAAGCAACATATATAGCAAAGATTATGAAACACTTTCATATGGATAAAACCTATCCATTGAGCTCTCCAATGATTGTCTGATCACTTGATATCAAGAAAGATCATTTTCGTCCTCGAGAGGATGATAAAGAATTTCTTGGTCCTGAAGTGTCCTATCTCAGTGCAATTGGTGCTCTTTTGTATCTTGCAAATTACACAAGACCTGATATAATTTTTCTAGTTAATTTATTAGCACGGTACAATTCTGCACCAACCACAGACATTGGAATGAAATCAAACACATATTACGATATCTTCGTAGCACAACTGATATGGGATTGTTTTATTCAAAAGTATCAAATTCTCAATTAATTCTTTGAGATGATAATCTTTGAATCAATAAACTCTTTTGCCAGGTTGGAGTAGCAAGGCGTACTCTCCTTAAGTGCTAGTTCTCAATCTCACCGAAGTTGAGTTCCGGACATAATTACATAAATAATAGGGACAAAAGCAAAAAAATATTTCTAAAGTATATTCATGTAGTACTTTTATTCCTTATTTAAAAAAGTGTGCAAAAAATATTCATAATCTTTTCACATTATGTAAAAAATACTCAATCTGACATAAATTAGTGTCGTAATACCCATTTTCTCATTTTACTCTTCCAAAAATACCTAAGGGGGTATATTTGCTACTAATCTCATAGTATAGGGATATTATGTGTACATTACCTTATATATATATTTTCAAACATTTTTCTCTATATATATCTTTAAACATTTTTTTAAAAAAACTTTAAGAATTTGTAGAACTAGGATTTGAATTTTTTAAGATTCTACTTTACTCTTTTCTATTAATTTTTAAACCAAAAAATAAAAATAAAAAATAAAAAAATTCCCAATATCAGTATGCACTGGTTTTCGGAATTTGGAAAAATTTTATTTTCTTTAGTTTGCACTTTATTTTTGTTTTTTATTTTCTATTTTTATTTTTACTTTTCTTTTATACTTTTATTTTTATTTCATATTTTTATCTTTACTTATCTATCGCTGGCGTCCTCTAATAGTGTCATTTTTTGTCATTTTATAAAATTATTTATTTTTATATATTTTTAAAAAATAGTTTAGTAAGGGTAATTTAGTCAACTTAAGGTTTAAATTTATCAAATGGACCTATTTGCACCAAATTAAAATTTTAAAGGTATTTTTTGCATACGAGGAGTGTAATATGCACTGTAAGCATATTTTAAGAGTGTTTTCTACACTTGCTCCTAAATAATACACATGATTTTCAATCAATTTCATGCATCGGGAGTTTGCACATAGTGGTTAATGAGTTCATAGTGGCTAATGGATGGTTTGATTTTTCGTAAAAACTAAATAAAAAATAAAATTCAGTAAGTTAGATAGGTGTGGGGCAGTCATTGCATTGCTGCAGAAAACTAGTATTTTAAAGGGTAAAATGCAACACCCCCACCCCCCCGGGCGGAACTTTACTCTCCCCCCGCCCGGAACTATTTTTTGTACAATCAACCCTTTGAACTATCAATTTTTTTGCAAATATTACACATAAATTCCTTTGATTTCTCCGGCCAATTAGGTTGGCCCGTGATGAATACATGCCAACAATATATTTTGAAAATGACAAATCTACCCTTATACTATTAAATGTATAAAATAAAAATAAATAAAAATAAAAAAATTCCAAATTAAAGCCCTAAAAAAATCACAGGCGTCGGTGCAGTGAGGGATGGATTTGAGAAAGAGATGGTCGTGGTCCTCATCACCGCTGGTGCTAGAGGTGGTCGGCGTCCTCATCGCCGCTAATGCTAATTTTCTTTAAAAAAAAACCCTAACCCACTTTCCTTTCCCCCTCCTCTCTCTTTCAGCGATGTCGCCAGTTCACCCACATTCTCTCTCAATTTCACCACCTCCTAACTAGCCGTCATCCATGGTGAATGTCGGACTATGGATTTATGATTTGCGGTGGTATCACCGATTTGCCTGATCGCCAATTTTAAAGCTGATTCGCTGTCGTCCTGAACCGCTGTGCAAGTTCCGTCTCCTCCCCCGAGCTCAACCCCCGTAGTTGCCGCCACAACACAACCACCTATCATCACCTTCACAATATCTTCTCGCCGGATTCGCACGCAATCTCACCGCCGAATAGTCTTCACCAGCTATGCTCACACATGATAACACGGTAAGAAAAAGCCGACCAATCAATACCCAACTCTCCCCAACGTGCGCTCACGCGCCATGTTTTTATGATTAATTTCTTCACAGAATTGTTCATGATGGTAGCTCTGTTCTTGGATTTGTCTCCGATTTTGTTTCTTTGGTCTGTTTTGGATTGATTTGATCTTAATTGGTGCATCGGATTGACTACATGAGTCGCCATCGGTCATGGATTTGCGGAGTTCGCGATGTGAGCTTTGGCAGAGAAGAGACCAGAAAAGGCGGACGCATTATGTCTAAAGTCTAGACCAGAGACTTGTCGGCGTCGGTGGCGAGATGAGGTTGTCGTTCCCCTTGGTGGCAGTGAAGAAATTGGATGTAGCCTGGACCTCCGAGGCTGGAATTTATGCATACTTTTCTAGCGATAGTTTAACTGTGAGTGTGCTGGTGATTGCGCTGGTGTTGTTGCCTGGAGTTGTCGGTGTAGTGGAGTCGGCTCAACTATGTTGCCCAGAAAACTGATTTAACATGACAACGCCAGCGCGTAGAAATGGGCATAAGAGATTACAAGCCCTCATCAACAACTAAGTTGGGTATTAGATAAAACGATGCAGTTTCTCGAAAGTCTCCGAGCTTTTATGTCTTTCTATCTTTCCTGGCCGCCTTCCACGGCAGCATTTGTGTCATACGACTTCCCGATCGTTGAATCTCAACTCTGAATTCGATTTGAAGTCTAAAATTTTCGACTTTGGCCTCATCGATTATTTGGGGTTTTGATTCGAATTCAAAGAAATAATTTTTAATAAATATATGTCTGTGTGTGTATATATAGATATATATGTGTCTGTATCTGTATATATAAAATATATATGTGTCTGTACGTTTGATTATTTGGAGAAGATGAACAGTATTCTATAAAAGGGTGCCGTTCAATTAGAGGGTAATTTTGTAATTTTGGTTTTTCAGTGCCAAAGTCTTGCCTGATGTCCTTAAATGCAACTTTTTAGTAGTTCAAGAGGGCATTTATTAATTCAGGTGTGCAATTGACTGATAATTCAGGAGAATTTTGTGCATTTAACCTATTTTAAAATAAGTTGGTCAAGTGGGTAATACTTCTCCCTTTCCACTAAAACTACCAGATTCAATTATCCACTTTGCCCTCCTTCACTTTTTAATAAAAAAAACCCTGTTTTATTTGAAAGCAGCCAAATCACGTGTTCCAGAGTGTTCGAATTCGGGTTTTGTGAACTAACGTGAGATGTTAAGTGCAGTCGCAACTTTGACAGTTGCGACCCACTCAGATGATACTGATAGAATGAAAATGACATAAATATCACAATATTAAATTAGATTATTGAACGGACAAAATTTTATAGTATTTTTCTTGTATTTACATTGACATGATGGTTAATACTCTTCCCTTTTGGTTAGGCGGCTAAAATGAAAGAAAAGAAGAAGTTGTATGATCAAAAGACGCCTGCGCTGACTGTGCAAACACGAAATTTCAAACATGATGTCAATGGAATGGATGATGCAGGGACGTTCCTAGAACATTAGGTGGGTGGGTAAAAATGAAATCTTTTAATAATTTTAGAGGTAATAATAATATTTTATAGGTATAAAATTAAAAAAGAATAGCAAGGCATATTAGTTTAAAAAAAATATCCAGGGAGGCAATTTCCCATATGCATGTAGGTCCGCTGGATGATGTGATGGCTGTTCAAGCCTTCTAATAAACCAACCATCATGAGTTGGTCATCATCAAGCCTTCGTCAATGCCCTTCTTCTTTTGTTTTTTTTGATAAGGTAAGTCTTCGTCAATGTCAATTCTCATCATCAAGTCTTCGTCAATGCCCTTCTTTTTTTTTTTTTTGATAAGGTAAGTCTTCGTCAACGTCAATCCCATAGCCATCAATACAATCCTCATATATAATATAGAAAGAACAACTCTCTTCATTGCAATCTGTTTCCTAACAACACTTCACTTTCTACAACCTCAAATGGCTTTTGGATTGACCAAAAGAAAGATGGTGACGGTGCTGAGCATCGATGGAGGTGGCATTAGAGGCATCATTCCCGGTACCCTCCTCGCTAATCTTGAATCAAAGCTTCAGGTAGTACTTCATCAAACATGTATTGTTTACACTTTTCAGTTTTGTCATTGTGTTAATACTTATTTTTGTTCTTGTATAATTTGATTGTCAGGAACTTGATGGACCTGGTGCGAGAATTGCAGATTATTTCGACGTAATTGCTGGGACTAGCACTGGTGGGCTTGTCACTACCATGCTTGCAGCTCCCAACAAGAACAACCGCCCTATGTATGCTGCAAAGGACATCAACAATTTCTACTTACAACACACCCCCAAGATCTTCCCTCAGACCAGGTGGGTAAATTAGTATATAAGCTTAAATTATATACTTATGTCAATGTGTGTGTACTATATATATATATGTTGGATGAATATTCATTGATGGGTGTTTCTCTGATCAGTCGATGGAGCTTCAGGGACACGGTGACACGTTTGATTGGCGCGGTCTCATGGCCAAAATATGATGGGAAGTACCTAAGGTCATTAACATGTCAATGTGTGTGTACTATATATATATATGTTGGATGAATATTCATTGATGGGTGTTTCTCTGATCAGTCGAAGGTGCTGCATGGACACGGTGACACGTTTCATTGGTGCGTTCTCAGGGCCAAAATATGATGGGAAGTACCTAAGGTCATTAACAAAGGAGCTACTAGGTGACCTTACTATAAAGCAGACACTAACAAATGTGGTCATACCGGCTTTTGATATCAAGTACCTCCAGCCAGTTATCTTCTCTACCAGTGATGTATGAAACTTGTGGATATTAATTTGGTCATTTGAATTTCTAGCTACAAATGTGAAGTGACATTAATTGTATGAACAAATTTTATACAATGTATAGGGAAAAATGAATGTTTCCAAGAATGCTCTGCTATCAGATATCTGCCTCAGCACCTCTGCAGCCCCTACCTATCTCCCAGCACACTACTTTGAGACCAAGGATGCTGATGGAAAGACGCGCACTTTTGATCTCATTGATGGTGGAGTTGCTGCAAATAATCCTGTGAGTAGCTAATTTGGAGATTTGGATCAAACTATAATTAATTTTTATGGTCTTTCTAAATTTACATTGAATATATATATACATAACAAGTTAAAACTATGTTGGTTAGTGGGTACCATATGAAAGCTTGGAAATAACCTTTGCTGAGTGAATTTGCAGACTCTAATGGCCATAAGCCACATTACAAAAGAAATTATAATGGGCAACTGTGAGTTCATTGAGATGGAGCCGGCGGAAAGCAAAAGGATGCTAGTCCTTTCACTGGGCACTGGTGCAGCCAAGCGAGAAGAGGAGTACAACGCAGCCACAGCCTCCCAGTGGGGATCGCTCAATTGGGTGTATTACAATGGTGCAAAACCATTGCTTGACGTGTACGCCGACGCGAGCTCGGATATGGTTGATATCCATGTCTCAACTCTCTTTCAAGCCTTGTATGCTGAGAAGAACTACCTTCGCATTCAGGTATATATCAAGAATTACATAAAGGGCTAGACAGTATGCTCCCGTTATGGCGGGATGTGAGGAGGTAAGATTTAACAGTCTTACCTCCACATAGAAAGAGGTGGCCAGTTTTCTATTTGAAACTTGTAACTTTCAAATCACAATAGAACAACTCTACGATTGAGTCAAGACTGCCTCGTATTTTATGACTATCATATGCTAATAATTTCTTATAATATGGATGGACAGGATGATACGTTGACCGGTGACTTAGCCTCAGTCGATATTGCAACAAAGGAGAATCTGGAAGGGCTTGTGAAAATTGCAGAGAAGTTGTTAAAGAAGCCAGTTTCAAGGGTAAATATGGAAACTGGACAGTTTGAGACAGTTGAGGGAGAGGGTACTAATGAAGAAGCTCTTGGGCGCTTTGCTAAGCAGCTTGCAGATGAAAGAAAGCTTCGTACCACTTAAATATCAATTGGGGAGATGTATGTCAAAGAGGTTTTGAGAAATTCCTCTAAATTAATTGTTCCATTTTTTTTCAATAACAATAGAGAATAATAAATTCTTATTCATTAATTTGTTTACAGTTATACAGATTATTTAAACTCACGTATTTATTTAAGGGTGAGTGTAGAAAACATCCCTAAAGTACGTTTAAAAAGCACATCACACCTCAAACGTGCAAAAAACACCCTTTAAGTTTCAATTTGGTGCAAATAGATCCCTCTGACAAATTTAAACCCTAAATTAACTAAATTACCCTTACTGAACCATTTTATAAAATATATAAAAATAAATAATTTTGTAAAATGACTGAAAATGATACTATTGGAGAATGTCCCTCTCGTGCAAAAAACACCCCTATAGTTTCAATCTGGTGCAAATAGGCCCCTCTGATAAATTTAAAGCATAAATTAACTAAATTACCTTACTGAACAATTTTATAAAATATATAGAAAATGACAGTATTAAAGGACACCAGCAATGGAAAATAAAATATAAAAATAAGGGCAATTTAGAAAATAAAAATAGAAAGTGCAAACTAAAGAAAACAAATTTTTTTCCAAACACCGAAAACTAGTGCACACTGATATTGAGATTTTTTTTTTTTTTTTTTTTGTTTAACAGTGTTGGTACGAAAAAAAATAATAATAATAATAGTAGGAAAGAGTGAACTGGAATCTCAGAAAATTCAAATTCTTGTTCTACAAATTCTCAAAGTTTTTTTAAAAAATGTTTAAAGATATACATAGAGAAAAAAGTTTTACAAAAAAAAAATATATATATATATATATATATATATATATATATTTTATATATAAAGTAATATGCACATAATACCCCTATATTATGAAGTTAGTAGTATATATACCCATTCGGCATTTTCAGAAGAGTAAAAAGGTAAAATTGATATTACAACACTAATTTATGTAGATAGGTATTTTTGAATGTGAAAGATTATGAGTATTTTTTACACATTTTTTCAAATAGGAAGTAAAAATGTTACATAAAATATACTTTAAAAGTATTTTCTGTACTTGCCTCATTTTTTTTATATTATGTAAAAATCATACTTAGAATGCGGAAATTTACAGACTTAGTACAATAGCTAGAAATTCTACAGGTACAAGTCCCGGAACACAAATGACAAGTAGTAGAATTTTTGTCTTTTAATAGTATTCAATTCGACCACTGGCATGTTTGGCCTTTAGGTGCGAAAACAATTTTAATTCTTGTGAGACGACTTATACTTTTCAGGTCTTCGTTCCTGCAAATACAATAGAATCTTTTTAAGAATACCAAAAAAATATTCTTATCCATTTCGTATATTCTTCAAGATTTTTTTCATATAGACCTAATCTTGTTGGGAGGAGCAATCTATGAATCACAGTACTGTTTGGACCGATGAAAAAATGGATGGAAGAGTAAGGTCAAGTAGGGATGGATGAGAAATATTTGGAGGGAAGGAAATGTGTTTTTTTGCTTTTTATTTGATTAAATAAAATAAATAGTAAAAATGATAGATGTAATGGAAGGATAATTTATATATATATTTTTATTAATATACCATCATTATGTTTGACATAATTTTAATAGGTTTAGCAAATTATTTAGTAAATAACTAAATATTAAATTTTAAAATATATTTTTTATTTTTGGGTGATTATTCTTTCCTCTGTGACCCAAAAAGATTTTCACCTCTCACATTTAAAATTCGAAATGTGACGTTCCATTCTATCATTGAATCACATTAGTGGTTCATGGATCGATCACCTTAGCTTGAATCTATGAAGCACGGACACTCCTCCTAGGGACCCCCGTACCAGTGTCGGATATTTTTTGGACACCGACACCCGTGTTCGAGGCTCGGACACGTGTCCGACACTTCTGTAAAGTGTCCAAATATTATTTTTTATTGGACACGTGTGTCCGAGGCTCGGACACATAGTCCGACACTTCTGTGAGACAAAATTTATTTTCTCTCACTCCTCTCAGTCTCTCATCTTCTTCAATTATCTCTCCTCATGAACAAGATATATATATATATGTAAGTTACATGAACAAAACTTTATGAAAGACTGAAAGTATATATGTTTATTCATATACATATTTAGTTCATTATAGCTATGTCTCTTCTACACATCTTCGTTTGGAATTTGGATCAACTTTATTTTTCATTTATTTTCTGTTTTGTCTTCTCTATATTTTTCTTATAACAGAGATGAAATTATTGAAATTGATTCTATTCTTTGTTGTTGTTTTATTTATCTGTACAAGATTCTAGTAATTTATATTTTGAATATATAATTATATATATATATATATATATATATAATTTTATAGCCGTATCCCCTCCGTGTCCGTGTCCTATTTTATTGAAATTTGTCGTGTCGCCGTATCCGTATCGTGCCGTACCCGTATCCCGTATCCGTGTCCGTGCTTCATAAGCCTGAATCCAAGCTTCATTTAGTCAGAGACCATGCCTTGATGGTTGGGTCGTTGGTCAAACACTTGGGCTTGTTTCTCAATTGTTGTTTGTTTTATTGGGCCACTTTAGTCAGGTCCAACTAAAATTTGTTCTTGCTCTAGCAAGCTGTTTGGGCCTCTATAATATGGTCACTCTGTAAATATTTTACATATACTAGCAAAAGATACGTGGCTCAGGGAAAATATGTGTATAATTGTAAATTAAAAAAATATATGTATATAGGAGAAAAAATTTGTATTATTATTTATTATATATAAAAAATATTAATTAAGAAAATTAAAAATTAATAATAATTATTAGTAGGTAATTTGTGTTAGAGTTTTATAGAAATTCTTTTAAAAACTCTTTTTTATTAATAGATAATTTGTGTTAATGTTTTATAGAAAATGTTTTAAAATTTATTTTATATTAATTAATAAAATCACTTTGAACTTTGCTCATTGGTATTCTTATTTTATTTTAGTTGGGGACCTTGCTTATTGATATTTTAGTATTTTATTTTAGTTAGACTTTGCATATTGATATTTAACTGAAATTAATTTACTTAACCTTTGGAACCAAAAAAAAAAAAAAAAAGACTTCGTTACTCATTCTGTCTTTACATCTATTAATTATTTGTGAATTCTCACACATTATAATTCCCTATTTTTTTTGTCTAGGAACTAATTCCAACTATTTCTAAATCAAAATTACAAATCTATATCACCAGAGTAAACCAGATTGTATATAATTCTAACAGTTTATAATTGTTCTTAAAAATTTTTGGGTAACTCTCAAGATTGTTATATGAGCCTGATTGGATTTTGAATTCTATGGGCTTGTTCAGTTCCATAACAAATCTTTTTCGCGATTTGATGAAGCCAAAGTTCAACGACAACTACCTGCACTCCATAGTGCAAACAATGCTTGGTGAGACCACTCTGGATCAAGCCCTAACAAACATTGTAATTCCAGCATTTGACATCGAGCTTCTTCAGCCTACCATATTTTCTACCAATGAGGTACTATATATATATAAATTGGCGTGAGTGGCCATACTTTAATTTTATTAATTATGACCTTATGTTTAATTTAGTCTAATATTAAAAAAATTATCATTTGCTATATAGGCAAATGTTAATGCCTTAAAGAATGCTAGATTATCAGACATATGCCTCAGCTGTTCCAACATTTCTCCCACCTCACTACTTCCAAACAAAAGATGCCAAGGGAAAAACCCGAAACTTCAACATCATTGGTGGCGCTCTTGTTGCAAATAATAATGTAAGCATTTAAAAAATTATATATATATATATATATATATATATATGTATATATATGTTGAAAGGAGAGATTATACTATCTGAATTAACGTGTCATTTGAAAAAAAAAAAGAGAACATATATACTATCTTGATTAATATCCATTAGTGAAATTAGATCGACCAAATTCTTCTTCACTTGGTATTGAGTTTTTGCAGACACAACTTGCAGTAAGCCATATATTCGCCATTATTCCTCTGTGGAGAGCTGCCAAGAAGAAAGGAGTCTCACTGTCAAGGTTGTGAGCACCTGCTTGCCCCAATGATGTTACAAAATGAAGAGGGGTATTCACTAGCTGTTCAACAATATCTTCTTCCCCTTTCGAGACGAGTATGCTTGTTCAAGGCAGTGTCTAGTAGGGGCGCAGTCAATGTATGCTGGAATTTTTCCTTTTTTATTTCTTGTTTTTCTTCAAAGGCTGGATTTTTTGCTGTACTCTTGAACAACTATTGAGTAAAATTTTAATTGATGGAAATATTGCTAAAAATTCAAAAAAAATATTTATTTTTAATTACACTTAAAATTACAGTACTTTAAATTTCAATTCTTTAACATTTTTAGTATTTAGTTTTTAATTTTATATTGTGCAATTTTAACCACTGCATTATTATTTTTCTTTTGTTCACCCTTTGACTATTTTAAACCATTCTATTTTCCCAATCTCCTTTTATAAATATGCTTTTACTCATAAACCCTTCACCCGAATCACCCTGTATCATATATATACGTGCTTTTTTACTTGACATTCCAATGTATCTAATCAAATAGATGTACTTTGACATTTTGACCTCAAATATATATATATATATATATAGAGAGAGAGAGAGAGAGAGAGACAGATACATACATATATTCATATATAAATGTTAATTTAACTAACCCACATTATTCTTTCTTTCTTTCTATTAAACAGATTATGTTAGCTACATAAAAATGATGTAGTCTTAGAATTGAAATTAAAATTTGGTAAAATTAAAAAAGTAATAATAATTTAATTTTCTAAGTTACTTTTCACTAATTATATTGATATCAATTCTAAAACTCAAATTAATATATCCATATATCCTTCTCAATCAATTTTTTCTGAAAAATCATAATCAATATAATTAGTTGCCAACACATAACGCTAATAATAAATTAGAATGTTCATGAATAATACATAATGCTAACAATAAATTATAAAGTAACAATAATAATAATAATAATAATAATAATAATAATAATAAAAAGAGAGTTGAAATACATAATAAAAAATAACAATAAAACAACATAGATG